ATAATGTGTCTCCATCGAGCATGCCTTTGTGCATCACTTAGGTGCTGCTCATCGCAAAACAGTTCTTCAGAAACTGCTTTTGTGCTGAAATTTGTGATCTGCATCTTCATCCTTATTTCATCACAATCGAAAAATGACCAGCGCTGCACCATCTTTCTTTGAAGCGGTTCTTTACTAATTCAAGGAAAGTATGTTCGCATACCTGGGACCGCGTAGTGTATGTTTTAGCCAAAGGTTCTCTCAAAATCTATAAAAATACGTCAGGAAAAGGGCCCTTACTCATTTGTGACGAGCTTATCGCTCTCAATCGGCATTCTGACCGCCCTGCTCATCGTTGTTCAAAGCTAGGCGGGAGTAGTTGAATTTTACATGGCCTGCACATCACATCGCCTGTCATCGCGTTCCATTTAGAACTAAAGTTTTATTCTGAGACTCGTATATATTTAGCTTATACAGAGATCGGCAAAACGGACCCCTATTAGGCCCGTATGCACGTACATCCCCGCGGGGAGGGGATGTGCGCTTAACCATTGAAATGATCCCCGCTGGGGATCCCCTCCCCTCCCCGCACGAACCCCCGTATGCACAAAGACAATAACGGACAAGGGATCCCCTGTGGGGAGGGAAAGTGAACCCTCTTATGCACAAGAGGGGATCAAGCGGGGAAATCACCTTGCTTTCAAATTTTCTATGAAAAACTCTTTCTTATTTCATATTTTGACTGCAACTCATCTTCATCTCCTCACTTTCATTAATTTAGGGTTGCGGAATGCGCGTATGCAGTGACTGCGCTCGGGGCACTAGAAATGATTTTTTCTACTCTCATTATGCTTCTGCTTTCTTGAATGCTGCCCACTTTCGCTCATGCTGCTCCATTTCAGCGTAAAAATGTTGAACTATAGAAGTTGATGTGTCTCAGCAAGGGAATGGTTTGAAGACGTTATGCTGCCGAAAGGGGGGGGGGGGTGCCGCGCGGACGCTCAAAGCAGTATTCTAACACGTAACAGAAGCTGCAAATTGTGCCAGCTCTCCATAAACGCTGTAGCTATCAGCTGCATAACGTCCTTTATCCCAGGGGAATGATCCCCAGCAGCCATCCCTGCTATGCACAAGGGGAACGCTGGGGAGGGGATCACTCCCCAGGGGATTTCTACTTAAAAAATAGGCAAATATGCTACTTTCTAGATTTTTTCGAGGCAGCTTATGTTAAAATAACAAGATAATGGCAACATGTCATGGAATATGAAAGTTACAATGTGTTTACTCAGCCTATATAGCTAAAACTATTATGTTATATGAAAAATGCGCAAATTTCCTGAATGATCAAGAACTCCTACAAATAATCGAAATTGGCAGCTATTGTTGCTCGGATTTTTTCTCAAGAGGCGAATATAGAAAAGAAAGACAAATTGCAAGCCACAGGTCGCTGAGAGAAGAACCCGGCTTTCAAAGAAAATCCTCCATCAAAATGAACGAAATGCTTGGTAATGACTGAGCAGAACCAGAATATCCGCGTCTCTGGCATGATCTACACCATCGAACCCCTACTTCGTTGCAGGGGATGTCGATCCCCTCCCCCGCGTTATTGAGTTGAAATCGCGCATACGGGGTTCGAGTGGGGGAAGGGAAGGGATCCCCTCCCTCATTCGAACCCCGTATGCACTGGGGTTCGCTCGATCAATACCTCTGAAACCATTCACACCATCCCCGCTTAGGTGCAGGGGAGGGGATCGCTCCCCTCCGCTCTGTCATGGCGGGGTTCGGCGGAGGGGATCGTTCCCCTGGGGATCTAGCTCCCCTCCCCTCCCCAGCGGGGACGTACGTGCATACGGGCCTTAGATTTTAGTAGTGTTGAGTAGTAGATCCCCAAATACAGCGTTGCTCCAATCCTACCGTGCAGTTCATGCGCTAAGTCCTGTAAAGGAGCTTCAAAACTACACCAGCCCACCCCACTTCCATCAAGTGGGCGTCATTAATGGAGTTTTGGACGCTTTTTTCAGGACGCGCATGATTTGGAGAGTGGAATTAGGGCTACGGTGTAGGTGGGGTCTTCTACCTATAAAACTACCAAAATCTGAAAGGAGTCCAATTTGCCGATCTACTGCCTTTAAGGATATTTACGCTTTTTTTGTGTAAGAATGTTCTTCTGTTACGAAATTGATATAACAAGCTTCAGCCACGTTTTCAGCACCATTTTTGAACAATGTCTGTACCATGTAGGTACAAGCCTAAGCGGATCAAGCAGATCTTTCAAAAAATGCGTATCTGGTCCACAAACTCAGACAATTGCCTAGGGAAGTTCGCGGCCTCAAAGCGTTTTACATGGTGCGCCGCGGACCATGTATATTTTACCGGGAACTCCGCGGCCAAAGTTGAAATTGGGAAGAGATCATCGGGAGAGTCGCGGCCCAATCACCTCACTCGCCGTGCAGCGGGCCTTATCAAAGGCTGCAATTCTTACACGCTGTAGGTTGAGGCGCAGCCTGCATGAGGTACGCCGCAGCGATGGAGCTACCCTAAGTGTTTGTGGGATGGGTAACTACTTCTCGGGTTTGGCCCTGTGTGACAGTTACGTTCTTATGCTTACGAAACAAACTTCAGCAGTCGGATCAGTGTTATCAACGACACTAGATGATGTCGACAGATAAACCAACAAGTTGTTCAATTTGCACTGAGGTCGTTGTCATGAAAGACAGGCCAAACGATTTTCCACTCTTCCTAGGCCTCACAAGCATGCTAATTGGGCCAACCATCGGGCGCTTACAGGATGCGTCGCGGTCACCCATCGGGTCCAATATCGGTTTATACTGGGCAGCTCGCAGCATGGATGATTGGTGGCCAAGCAAGCACCCGCGAACTTCCCAATGCAGTTGTCTGAGAAGCTTTTGGCTCGAAAAAGCGGGTTCATACTACGACTTTTGCGAAGTTTTTCATAAGCTTTGCCTTAAAAAGTTGTTGGCAAATCTACTTTTACGTGGGCACGGACCAGAAAGTGGTGAATGAGCGCCCTTGAATTTTAGAGGTATTTTAGTAAATGCACAGATTTTTGCTTAGAAATGTAGCCCGCAGTAGCTGTCAGCTATCTGTTGGCTACCAATGCGTCACCTCTGCATTGCAGAGGCTCGCACTGGCCTTACTACTCAGACAACTGACCGGAACTTCCGCAGAACATTTGGGTAAGTTCCGCCGGGTTACCTGCGGAAGTCCCGTGAATGTGCTGCGGAAGTTTCCAGATGAGGTGCTGCGGAAGTTGCGAAGAATGCGAAGTACAACAGCAAAAGAGAACACCGAAGCGAGATTTGAACCTTACTCTGTTAACTGTGAGACTCACCTACTATCCTCTGCACTAGGACTGACATGTTCGATAATGCACTCTAGTTGTTGGCGAGGCAACATCGTACTAGACAACACATTCAAAACCCTGCGGAAGTACTGGCATGTCAAAGTGCTACGGAACCGCTGGCATTTTTCGGAAGCTCCGCAGCGCTTTGTACAAAGCTTTGAAGTTACCGTTTTCATCTAATCTAACGTGAAAATCCTGCGGAAGTTTCCATTTTTAACCTTCCCCTTTTGCAATAGTAAACAAAATCCTGCGAAACGGCTGCAAATTTTGCTTGCCCTGCGAAACCGCTGAATTGTCTGAGTAACTATGGATTCCTCGTGCTCGTAAATTTGTACTCACCGCGCAGTGCTGACCATCACAAATGAATTGTAAATAACTACTCATTCCAAAGGCTTTTCACGTAAAATTATTAACTTTGGGAGGGAGATTTCTGCAGAAGATTAAATATCAAATTAGTTACTGAGCCTATTATGACTTGATGGGGCCATATAAACAACAATTCTCATAAGCTATGTCCTTAATTAAGCAAAAACCTCAATTTCTTGAGCGGGAGCGATAATTTATTTGACTGACCCTTTCTGGCCCCACTTTCTCGGAAAAAATACTTTTCAGGAACGTCTTGAATAAACGTTAATGCTTACACTATACAGACAAACGAATTTATGTCTACAAGAAATGCAGATACGGATCCAGTTTTGCGGGCTCAAAGGAGTGTGGATTCGTATGACGAGCAAATTTTGGGAGATACGCGCATCGGATCCATTTGTCCTTGCACACAATGAAATTTACATGCCGGGATCATGTGGTGTTTCAAAAAGTTGGGTTGAGACCTTAGCTGTAGTTCCGCTCATGAATTCCATGACAGACAGAAATTCAGATACACAAAAACAACCCTTAGCTCGTCACTATCTGTGAGGTACTAAGAATATACTTGTTTTTTGTTTCGAGTTTCCTCCTTTGAAAATCATTACAAGTGTACTCCTACACTCTATTTCTCAGTCCGCCTTCACCTCCCTCTCGTATCCAGTTTCATGCATAAGGGCTTCAAACGGGGGGGGGGGGGGCGCAATTTCGCATGCGATGGTTACGCTGTGGCAGCACAGCTTCACATCGTTTAAATCGTTTGGACGTACACCGGGAACGGATGCAGCACATATAAGAATGTGTCGAAGCGCCAAACTGCGAGCTTGATAAAGAGTAGTTTGAAGACTGTGCGAGAACGGAAGCATAAGAAGACCGCTAACCTGTCACCCAAAAGACTAGAGATTTGTTCTTCGCCAAGTAATGAGCATTATTGCTCTTTTGGTAAATTCGATTGATTTGAAAGTTTGCGTCGAAACCGCTTTCACATGGTACTTGTTGCAATGAATAGTTTTTCCTCCCATCTCATTCTGATGGGTGTGGGAACAACCATCAGAATGAGATGCGAGCGCAAAGCGCATGTCCCGGGCGCACGGAAGACAATTGGATAGTAGGCCAACAACTCATAGACTAATTCGGAGCACCCTATAACTTGGCTCGGAGCATGCAATGAGCAAGTCACAACGCATTGGACATTTTTCTGTTTTTCCTTCCCATTTTTTCTCCTTTTCCTTCTCGCAAATTTCTTGCACGGGTTACTTGCAAGGCCGTATAATGCGATTTTCGTCATATTTCCTATATGATGTTATATCATAGGGCGCGAATGCTGACGCACACGGAAATCCCGCAATTGCTCAAGAGGCACCACATAGTAAAAGGATATCGCCCGTTATACCAGCCCGTGCACTACTACTACATCTCAGCATTCCGCCCTCACAACGAATTGGTCAGTTTATCTTAATATTGAGAACAAAGTGGAAACAGTGATGATGTTTAGATCAACATCTGGACCCATCTTGTTCCAGCTATCTGCTTGATTGTGTTCTACTTAATTCCTGAAGTGAAATCTCCTACAAGGAGATTACCTGTGTTGGTATTATACACGGGCATAGGCGTCCTTCTGTTTGCATCCGCTATGGCACATTTACTGGTTTGTAATACTCTCATGTTTTTGATATGGTAATAGCCCATTAACTTTGCTTACGAAGCAATTTCAGCACTCACGATCTACACACGATCACATATTTTGGTTTCTAATTGATTTTACTGGAATAGCATTATTTGGGTGTTCTATTGGTCTTCAGCGATACAGTTGCAGCAAAGACATGTCCATGCTTATGACAGTGGTATGTTCTATCGAGACTTCTGATTTGGCTATGAATGGCGAGCTAGCTGTAGGCACTAACATAATGGCAAAATTTTGACCAGGTTTTCGAATAAAATCATCAGATTTGGACATTTAGACACGGGATTACAATAAATCTTATCATGCAGAAGCATACAAAGCCAAATAACCTATTAGAAATTTGTCGTCCTCCGCGCGCTAAAAATTCGAGAATGACGTATTTAACCAATCCTAAACGGTGAAGCACTGCCACCCGTACAATAGTACGCATTGAAGTAAAAAAAACACTATGTGTTGAAGACAGTGCCTAAGCATTTATCCCGCTACTATCATTGTTGGCGGAAGACGTATCGGCTTGATTTTGCCATTGATTCATCGCCATTAAAGGCAGTGAGTCGGCGGTATGAGGTCCCCACGCAGCAGCGTGCAAGTGACTAAAGTACTGCAGCAGCATGTGGTTCGAGTGAATATCTTAGGGCCGCATGCACTAATATCCCCGCGGGGAGGGGATCGCAGCTTCAGAAGAAAGCTTCATATCCTGAAGCTCCGGATATCTGGATTTCACGCTGTCCACCTATCCGTAAGTATTCCTACTACCCTTCACTATGAACATGTTGAACAGGAGCGAGAAGCTGTACGAACCGCATTTTCCAGCTTTTGTATGATTCCTGATGATCCCCGGCGCTTTTCTTTGAAGTCATTTTTCTTTCTCCGAAGTTAACGAAAACCTTCCAAAGTTGTACTGAACATCTAACACAATACTGCTAAGCATGTTGCTGATGAGAACAAATGAGTTTTTGAAAAGTCGAATTTTTCGGTAAGCCTTAAATTTCGACCTGTGGATCATCGCAAATTTCATGACTTCAAAACATCATTTGTTCTTAGCAGCAACATGCTTAGCACTGTCGGGTTAGACAATCTGCACAACTCTGGAGATTCTTCGTTAAATTCGGAGAAAGAAAAATGACTTTGAAGAAAAGCGCCAGGGATCATCAGGGATCATACAAAAGCTGGAAAATGCGGTTTGTACAGCTTCTCGCTCCTGTTCAACATCTTCATAGTGAAGGGTAATAGGAATACTTACGGATAGGTACACAATGTGAAATCCAGGTATCTGGAGTTTCGAAATATAAAGCTTTCTTTTAAGCTGCGATCCCCTCCCCGCGGGGATGTTAGTGCATGCGGCCCTTAGCCGCTTAGGGAGTGTCTCTAGTTGGGACCATAGAATCAGCTTCCACGTGCCATTCCTCTGCGTCCGAATTTGCCTGCCTCTAATTGCGATGGTTAATTCAATAGAAAGCGAAAGAAGGTTATCATTTTTGCACTTTTGAGCACTGCACTTACTTTTATACAAAGCTCTGGAGCCATGTCAGGATTCTACTACTGTGGCTAACATGCTCAAATGTGAACGCCTGTTTTCTGCTGCGCATAGTACGACATTATAATGGTGTCACAAACTCGGGAGGGTAATCCACCAGCCGTGTTCGTAATACCATTAGTCTTCTTTAACACAACAACCCCCGAAGTTTTTCGATTTACATGCGCATCTATGTTTTTTAAGCATGAGCTGCCTGGAATCCACATCGAATGCAATTTTCTCAGAAAATCTTCTAGAGGATATTAAGCGCATTCTTTGCAGCCTCGTTATACTTGATGCCAAAATCAACGGTTTTTTAAACACTAAAGTTTGCAACCTTTTTTTGACAAATCAAGTCCTACTACAATATTCTATGGACGACCAAAACAGACCATACAGATTGACTTCTCTGAAAATAACTCCATCAGTTTAAGCGATTTGCAAGTTCCTCAAGTACACTCAGTGTGATAACTGGAAAGATTGCATCTAGTAAGGGAATGGTCAGAAGGCAAGCTCAACATTGGATGCAGCATAAAACGTTGACAACAAGTTGTCTTCCCTTATCGGCTGAAATTCTTCGTGGACAAGATATGAGCAGTTTTACTACGAAGAATCTGCAAAAATGAACTGCAAAATCAGACACGTTAACTTTTTAGCAGAATTTTATGAACTCTAAAAAGCAATCGTTCTGCATGTTCTGACCCAGCCTTGAATCAAACATGAGCCTGCACGTCCAAATGTGCGCTTTGCCTATACTGTTTTGAAATACAGAGCTATAATAGGATTGTCTACACTAAAATAAGCAGATAAAAAATGGTGAAATTAGCTTTTTATGCTGCATCTGTTGGCATGGAGCTTACGGAAATACCCACTTCGACTTCTGAGCATTACCTTGTAAGCTTTCAAATTTTGATTTCTGAGCATATGACGATACCGTACGATTTGAGCTTTGATTTTGTGAAACTTAATATTAATGTAATTACTTACTTAGATATTCACGGAAGGATGGTTAGTCGAAGTGGCCTTTTGAGATGGGTCGTACAACATGTTGGAGGGCATAAAACGCTGATTCCAAATCTGTCTTCATTATCTGCGGCGCGTCCTGCACGAGAACTTATGAACGATTATTGGAGAAAAAAATGAATATACAGATAATATAAAAACAGTAGTAACAATTTTTCTAGCGCTCATATGGACCGGCAATCTTTCCAGCACTCTATGAAATCAATACTCTTAGATGAGATATATTTGCACTCCGGTTGTCCAACTCAAGCGCTGGGAAAATTTTTGCAACTGTTTTTATCCCAGAAAAACATTCATTTTGTTGCTCCTTTAAACGCTCATAACTCCTCGTCCAGGAATGCGCCGCAGATAAGGAGAACAGATTTGGAATCAGCATTTTGCGCCCATTGATATCTTTTACAAATCATCGCAAAAGACCACTTCGACTGACCATCCTTCCCTTGCTAGATGGCTCGGCTTCGTGACGTACGGCCCCAGCACAGTAGTTTCCATTTCTCCCTGTCCCTCGCTTCAGACATCCACGATCTTCTTGGCTGACGTCGGCTGCGTCCACGAGTTCCAGGGGCGAAAGTCGTATCCAGCTGATTTCTCAGCTGGTCCATCCGTTCCACGAACACGTCTGCCCATCTCGTCGGTGGTCTTCCTCGAGGACGTTTGGCTTCGCGAGGAATCCACTCCGATGTTCTTAGTGTCCATCTGTCGTCTGTTCTTCTCATTGTGTGACCGGCCCATCGGTGTTTGGCTTTCGCGACATATCCGCTGGGTCACGAAGACGGGACATTCTTCTCATATCCGTGCTGCGAAGTCCGACTAGATGTTGCTTGTGTCGGGTCATCTTCAGAAAATTACGCTCAAGCGTTCTGTGGGTGGTCTTTAAAGCTTTCGACGTGACTACGCTATCAGCACAAGTGCTGCTTAACAGTGCGCCGGGAAAACGATTGAGTCGAACAGTTGGGCACGAAGCTCCGGGTCTGTCAGTTGGTCGGTGGCTTCCTTCAAAGGCCCGAAGGCGGCCCAGGCTGCTCTTCTTCTCCTGTTAAGTTCTTCCTTCAAATCGTTCTCCGTGTTCATCGAACGTCCGAGATACACATAAGAAAACGTCTCCAGGATAGGGGTGCCTTCCAGTTCCATTTCTGCATCTTCGCAAAGGGCGTTCTTCATGAACTGAGTCTTCTTCCGATTTATTCGCAATCCGATCTTCTACCCCACTTCCTTCAGCATCGTCTCTGCTTCAGTGATACTGCTTGAGAAGAGGACGATGTCGTCCGCAAAACGCATGTTGACAGGAATCTCCCATTAACTCGCCTCTCTCGTTCCAATCCAGTGACTTCATCACTCAATGCAAGGCCGCGGTGAACAGCTTCGGCGAAATTGTGTCGCTTTGTCGGACCCCTTCCCAATTTGGATGATCAAGGGCGATGGAACAGCTGGATCGTCTTTGTACAGTCCTTGTAGCGTTGGCTAGTGTTCTCACGTAAACTGGGTCCACTCCTTGATCGACTAGCGCTGACAGGATGGCGCTGCTTTCGACGCTTCGTAGGACCCCCCTGACCCTATGACCCGTCTGGATGTGGTCCATGCAGCTGAATCCTCTGCGAAATCCAGCTTGTTTTTGGGGGTGGGCTTCAAACAGTGTCTTAGCAGTGGCGTACCCAGGATTTCGAGGGGCGACAACAATTTTCTTCTGATGAAGGTGCATGGCGTCAGCCACGCACTCCGAAGAATTTTTTGGAATGTTTCCCAAAATTTTTCCGCCCGAAATTTTTTTTACAGGGCTAATTTGAATTTTTAAAAATTTTTAAAAATTATTTCAATTATTTATAGGTAAGAACAAGTCCTCTGCGCATTTTCATAACACATTTAAGTAACTTTCAACCCTTTCTGAAAAGAAGGACGGTTCTTGACGTTTCTCTACTGGTCGGGAATCTTTTCCTCCTCAAGATAAGATGTCCGGTTCGACGCGAGAATCTCGTGTAGACATTGTCCTCCGGCTCGCAGAAATTCAGCGGAAAAATGGTCTGGTCCTGGAGCCGTAGACATCTTTATGGTCTGAATCGCCGTGCGCACTTCAGCAGGTAAAACTCGCGGTGGTACTTCTCCAACAACGGGAATCGGCACGGTGTTGATAAGCGGAAGAGGTTGTGTAGAAGTTCTTCGCGACAGATTCCATCTTGTATCGGATAGAAGTAGGAGTTCCGTCTTCGTTCAATAGTGCAGACAGCGGTACGTGATATTCACAGAGGTCCCTTCGGCACTTCTTGAGACTTCGTTTTCCTTCGGCTGCTTCCAATAACTTGGCTTGCCTGTACCTCCTGAAACCTTCTTGCAAAGCCGTTCTGCAACTGACGTTGGCTATCAGTCGCTCGAGGTGGGTGCATTTATATCCTGCCTCAGAAATCTTCTTCTTTCGAGCATTTTAATGATCTTCGAAATGCGTTCCAAGTTTTTTCCAGAAGTCACTGAGGCGCACTCTCCGCAGGCTCGCAATCCTTTCAGAAGCCAGTCGTAGTCGTACGTTGGGTCCTCCTCGAAGGGCCAGTCACTTGATATAAGCTCTTCCAGCCTGTTACGTCACAAACGATATTCTTCCTTACTGTGACATATCTTTTTTTTACCTTTCGACTGAATCGTATACCTTCGCGCGAAGGAGGCGGTGATCAGAGCCACTGCAGAAGGACGGAACTACTGAGACGTCAAGCAAGCTCCACCTTCGGTCGGTGAGAATGTGGTCGATCTGCATAACTCGTTCCGATGGGCGATTCCCATGCCCACCGGCGATGTTCTTTCTTCATGAGGATGGAATTTCCATGAAAAAATCGTGCGGCGGAAAGAAGCCCAACGAGACGGTTGCCGTTTTTGTTCCGGAGCCATACCAAACTTCCCAATCCTATATTCCTTTTCTAATGGCATCCCCATTTTCGCATTGAGGTCGCACACAACATACTTATAGAAGGACTTTTCATTGCGGACGGCCTCCTCCACGTCTTCGTAGAAAGCATCTAGTTCTGAGTCGTCAGCTGCTGACGTTGGAGAGTAGCAGTTGATGATGCTGATGGTATTCTGACGTGGAGGGCGTAATCGTAGGATGGCTAGTCGGGGTAACAAGAACTCATGCGAATCGTCAAGATGGACGATTGATGGGTGGACGACAAAACCAGCGCCTCTCACGTTTCGTGATGGAATCTTCTCACCACAAATGATGAGGGTCCCATCACTCATCTGTCGCACATCCTTTTCCTGGACTTCGTTTTCTGCAGAGCGATGATGTGATACTTGATGCGCTCCGCGGCGTCGAGAAGAGCGTGAAGGTCGGCGTTTGTGGAGACTGTTCTGGCGTTGTAGGTGCAGAGCATGAGGCAGTCTCCATGGCGTGTCGTCCAGGCAGACGTGTCCTTTTCGTCCGATCTAAAAGGCTCCCTAAGGACCCTGACATCGTTCTTGCTACCACCCGGCGCCGTAGGCGGGATCCGATGTACAGAGTTTTTTCTGTATCTTCTTGCTGACTGAGTAATAAGATTTGTTCCCCTACAAGAGCAGACTTACTAGGCCTACTCTTGATTTCCACGGGGCGATCGCTGACTCCGGGCTTGGAACGGGTAGGGACCGCCTAGCGACCAGAAGAAGTCAGACGGCGGAGGATCTGGCGTGGGCGGCTTTTAGTTAGGCATCCTGCCGAAACCGGAAACCGGAAATGAGTCAGCACAAAGCGGAATAGAGTAGCGCAAGAAACGCTCGATAATGCCCATTTGCAAGCATTTAATGGGAATTATGCCAAATGTGATACTGAAAACAAATATGTTTAGGACAATACGATTTATAAATCTCGGCATGATGAATACCGATATTTGATTGTTTAGCCACGACCGAGATTGGTAACTTTTAATTCAACAAAATTTAGGCTGACGTTTCGGCAATCATTCCCTTCTTCAGATTCTGAAATGGGCGAAAACAATTTACTGACTACCCGATCAAACATCTCATCAACCCTATAGGCAAAATTCTAAGCTTTCTTCCGACCACGAGCCTGCTGCTACAAGCAGTACTCACCTTTCATTCGCCGGTAGATTTCTGATATGGTACGAGCGAGTGCTTACTGACTGCTTTAGCAACGAATTAAATATGTCTTCACAAGATCAAAAGATCTGATTAAGATATGGTGCGAATTCTCGTGTGTGACAGAGAGACACTCTTCTTTGCGGTTCATTTTAGGGTTTCTAAAATAAATCCAAAAGGCTTTTAGAGTTTTCGAGTGGTTTCTCCGATATATTCGTTGCCGCAATCACATATGAGATATACAACACCCGTACCATGCAGTCTCCGTCCCTTGCTGTTGGACATGGTAGCTGCTGTCGTAGTACATGCGATTCCGAACTAGGATACGTTTTAAATTGTTTGGAGGTAAAGAATAGAGTCTTTCTATCACACGAAAACTCGCACCATATCTTAATCAGATCTTTTGATCTTGTGAAGACATATTTAATTCTTTGCTCAAGCGGTAAGTAAGCACTCGCTCGTACCATATCAGAAATCTTTACCGCCGAATGAAAGGAGAGTATTGCGCGTGGAAGCAGGCTCGTGGTCGAAAGAAAGCTTAGATTTTTGCCTGTAGGGTTGAGGAAATTTTTGATCGGTTAGTCTGTAAATTGTTTTCGCCCATTTCAGGCTCTGAAAAAGTCGAATTATTGCCGAAACGTTAGCTTAGATAAAAAAATTGCCAATCTCGCTCGTGGCTAAACGATCGACTCAATACAAATTTTCGATTTTGAAGTCTAAAAATGTAAATGTAAATCTTCATTATTAGTTATGGGCAAGGAAAGCTTTCTCTATCATTTTTCCGTCTATCAGAAAAGAAAATGATGGAGGTGTTAACAATACGTAAAAATGGACTCTCATTTGAGTGTCAAAATGTTTCTAGTAATTGGTGGATACTGCAGTAAAAGTGTGAAAAACGCTGCCTAGTAGATTGGCCACAGTCCTCTTAATTTTGAAGGAAATACTTATATAAATTTCTTTGAATGTTTTAAGCGATTTGACTGTGATGATTCGAATTCTCTTGATTGCAGGGTTATGTTCCGGGCTTGCTACTTGTTGTTCTAGTTCTTCAATTTCTTTCTGCTAGTTACATGTTTGTATGCCGGCCAGACTATAAATGGAGGCTAGAAATCCGAATGCTTACATGCTTGCTGCTGGCAGCATGGGCGTCAGTACCCTTGTTGAGTCGATACATGGTGAGTTATGCTATGCATAAAGCGTGGTGAGACGAGAAAATTTAGATAGCAATAGTTTACAAAGTTTTCAAATACGGAGTGTCCCAAAAAAATGTATCGAAAGTTTGATCGTTAATATCTCTATTCCCAAGAAGTCCTTTGCCTTGCTTCAGGTACCGTTCTGTAGAGAGAGGTTCAACTTAGATTTGCATTATAGAGCGAATCACTCTTCTTTCTTCATTACTGTAGGATTACGGTATAAACTTGAAACATATGTGTCAATGTGGAAAAAGCTGCCGTTTCAAAAATTTTCAAGAAAATGTGAAAACTTGTGTATTGGGGTTTTTATGGACACTGGGTTCAATACTCAACTATTCACAAGATTACGAAGCTTTCTAAACGGTGTAACCGCACTTTTTAGGACATTGAAAAAATGGCCGCTACCTCTTACCTGGCATAACTCTTCAATGAAGCATCATAATAAGTCGGAAACTTTACAGTTATAATCAGCAACTCTAATTAGCCTAGTGTAAAAGTTTTCAGGCTCTTTTGTTTGCTTTCTGGGGCAAAATATGGCCTTTCATTGCTTAAAACCCTCTTTGAAGTTTTTACCGTAATCCTATAGTAATGAAGAGAGATGATTGATTCGCTCTATAATGCAAATCTAGGCATGGATGTTCTCGCGAGAGCAATCTAAAGCAACCTTTTTCCTAAAAATTTGCTCCCTACGCCCGACTTCTAGAACAAGCTAGTCAAGAATCCACCAACTACCTTTGATAGAGCAACCCCAAGGCTCATGTCAACGCTTTTGCAAAAAATGTTGGATTCTATCATATATGCCAAGGCTTGGATCACCTTCGCTTTAATGGTAAAAGACGGCAAATAGCAAATCTCTTGAATGGCTGCTTTGTAGATGCTTTGAGCGCAAGCAACATTCAAAGTTACTGCTCATTCAAATGTTTCAGTCCGACCGAGGAAAGAATGAGCTTAGGTCCAATTCGAATCAATTATCTATTCTAACCTAGAAATCATTTTGAGATATCAGGTTATCCCGAAGGTTCTGTTGTTTCATTTTTGAAAATTTGTAACTTCTTACCAGCTCGACGGATTTGCTTCTTTTTCATTCCGTTGAAAAGAAGAAGTTTTCATCTTTGTGAAAGATCCTCGATGAGCTTCTATATACATTAATTGCAGAGATGAAAGTGGAAAAAGAAGACCACTTGCTCGTTGACCATTTTAAGATAGGTCGCCAAAAATTCGGAACGCTGCAGAAAAATCTGAAATCGCCAGCACATGAGTTTTGTGACCTATTCTCTGCGTCCGAAAAGAAGTGTGCTGTTTGGACATCTCCGCGAAAAGTTACAATCTTCGAGTTTACAATAGAAAACGTCAAAATTGATTAATTTGTCGCGTTTTTCGAAAATCATAACTTTTCATTAAAACGTCCAAACAGCACAGATTTTTCTCAAATGCAAAGTGTAGGTCATAAAACTTATATACTGACAATTTCAGATTTTTGGCGGCCTTCTTTCTAATTTAATTAGAAAAAGCAAATCCGTTGGGATAGCAAAAAATTTGTAAATTTTCAAAACAATACGACAGAACTTTCGGGACAACCTAATACTTTCGGTCGTTGACTTTACAGTCGTAGGATAGAGTAACGCAGCTTACAAAAACAGGTGGTTTCGCCGATTGGTCACGAATAAGATCCAAATTTTCGCGACAGATCACTTTTTTTATTTCTCCTTCTTATAAATTTTTGACACTCAATGGGAAAATCTCATGCTTGGTAACTTCAGTTCTTTCGTAAATCCAATACTCATTTGATTTTGTGAACAGTTCAAATTACCACGTTTCGGGTTTCCGGGACTCATATGCGAAAGCGAATGTTTGAAAGCGTTTGATACCACTTGAAAAATAGTAAAAATAGGATCTGAATAAAACAGCTTACTTGCGCTACAAGCGGCTGAAGCAAGCCTACGCAGGGGAGCGCTGCAGGCGCTGCTGTTAAATAGTCTTCAAACATTCTGCGAAGTATATCACATAGGCAGAAAAATGTAGGATTTACACAGTTGCCAGCACTTTGATACCTTTCTCATATGTTTTGCTTACTCACAAACCCAAAGTGGTAAAAGATATATTCGATGCAAACCACTCGCCGTCTCAATTTCTGTCGCATCGTGCCACACAATGTTCTTGCGCGAATACGTCATCATCTTTTCAGGGAGAAAATGTTACCGTAGATGAATCACTGTACTTGCATACAAATGCGCTCAACTGGTTATTGTTGAGCGGGGTTTTTATGGGAGCAAAAGTACCAGAACGTTTTGCTCCTGGTCTATTCGACATTTTCGGCTATGGTCACCAGGTTGGTGTGGATTACAGTTTGTGAGTTCCCTAACTCTAGAAGCACTTTCATCTTTTTTTTTCAAAAAGTTGAATGGAAAAGTAGGACGGAAAGAATAAAACAAAGTTTCGAAGAAAAGAGGTGTTTCTGTAGATGGAGTAGTAATGCTAGTAATGAGCGAAGCCGAATAGGGAGCAGGAAAATTGTAGAATGTGTGTGAAGGCTAGATTAGAAGAACTATGTTCTTTTGATCTAACCTTGTCTAAATTAAAATTCTCTAACTTTGTTTTCGGGTTTTTTCCAGGGCACGGCACAGGTAGCTCACTATACAAGCTGGGTGTCGTTTTTGAAAGAAAAAGCAAGAAGATATCGCTGTCTTCCAATATGGGGCCCGCGTGCCGCTCTCAAATAAACAACTCAGACAATAACTCGGGCGAGCGGCGAGCTTTGATTTGTGGGCGTGGCTTTCTTGCAAACGAGTGGCGTGCCCTCGCTACCGAGCTTTGCTAGCGGCGGACCCTGATTTGACCAGCGGCGGCCATCCCGTCAAGCGGGTGGGCGGCGTTATCATACTCCTTATCTTATATGATCTTGAAGTTCTCTCATTGCAGTGTTCTTCATTTTGTCAATGCTGTTATCATAGCTTGGTGGCTATTTGAGCTACTAAAATGATTTGTGGTTAGCTGTTGCCGACGACTCACATAAACTTCTCTCCACATCAGGGTCAAGCGTGTTGATGCGATCCGGGACCCTCATTTACGACCCCCCCCCTTGAATGTACCCATCCGTACGACCTCCCCCTCCGCCCCCCTCCTCCCACCCTCCCCCATTTATCCCCCTTACCTCCCCCGCCCACATTCCTCGCGGTAACCTGCATAAACGAATGTCAATCTCAAAAAACACCTGCGTGAGAACTTCAGTGAGATTTCGGAAGCAGAATTTCTAGGCCAATGGGTGCGTCCAGCATCTGTAGCACACATACACACCTTCAGTAATGTTTGAGAATCTGCAAGCTTTTTTTTGAATTTTCAGGCATACTTCAGACCAGCAAATTCGATTCCCGTAGGCGACACAAAAAAAACCGCTTGAGCGCCGTCCAGAACGACGTCAAAAACGTGCATGAGTACGGTAGTTTGCTAACTAAGGCCAGTAAAAGACTGAGAGGCTGCAAAGCACAGGTTCTGTAGTATAGTGCCCAGACTATCTATAGAAAAAGTTTCAGCTTTTGAGGAGCAGCAAGCTTGAAAAAATTTAGATGCGACTCTCGCAAATTTAGATGCGATCCTAAAAAGCAAAAACTGGGATTTTTTCGCTCAAAATTTTGCAACTTACCAGAGAAGTTATAAAACAGCCTGCAATTTTTATGAGGGAAAGTAGGAGGTTGGCCTCATATTACAGCAGAATTGCAGCCAACAAGCTTCAATAGCTTTGAAGAAATTCGGATGCGACCCAGATACGACCCCCCTTCCCTGATTTTTTTGTTACCATAAATAAAATCATAAGAAAATCCACAGTTGACAAAATAACACCAAATTTTGCACTGATGTAGCGGAGCATCTTCAAAGTACAGATAAATTATACGGGTCCGTGAAAAACATTACAAAAAGATTTAGAAATTTATGATGGTCACAGCTGGTAAAGATATTCGCTTTTGTCGAGTGTGTGAGACTTCAGGAGGGCTTCAGAAGCAAGATTTCTAGGGCAATCGGTGCATTTAGCATTTTTATCAAATCATACATCCTTCAAGAGTGTTTTGAGCTTTTGTAAATGTTTTTTTTGAGAATTTCTACAGATTTTTTACCTTATTTATTCTGATTTCCACTTTTTTATAGATTTATTGTAAAGATCATAACTAATTATCCTCTTTTTGATTCCCTTTCAAGCTTAGGGAATATTAGCCTACCTACCTTCTCTTACGACCCCCCCCCCCCCACCTTAGGTACCTCTTTACGACCCCCCGTTGTGACAGTCGCATCACAAGCTTGACCCTGCTCCACATTCATTACACCCCAGGAAGGGAAAATGAAAGAAGCGGATACAAAGGGGTGAATTTTAACTATGACAGCGACTGATTCCTGACAAATGTAGGAAGCCGACCTTTTGGGGGGATTTTGATAACAAGAGGTTTTGATCTTTTGCAAAGCTATAGAGGTAAGAAAAAGTGAAAAGATAAGTCTGAGGTGGACGAAGTTAAAAGTAGGTTTACGTTTAATCGTGTTAAAAGCAAGTGCATCACGATGTTTCAAATCATATCTTCAATGTTTATCTGCACAGATCGCAAGTAAAGGGTTATCCGAGTGAAAATTGGAGCTGAGTCCACGGCTTTTTCACATGGTTCGCTCTTCTTGGAAGTTCAGGAACTTATATGTACCATTTAGTTTCTTCCAGGGACCCTCGACATCTGTTTACCTCTACCAAACGTAAAAGCAGATCCAAATCAACTACTATTACCTTATTTCTATATGATGACTGGAATATCACTTGTCGTTTCCTGCGTTTTGTGTGATTGCTTACGCCCTAATTAATCGACCATTAGAATGCGTTGTAGGAATCAGATTGTGTGTCTGTAGCCAAAGTGGCAGACTATAAGCGGTAGGCAGCAGGCTCTCGGACCCTTGAATTTCAAAGAAAGGGCCGGAGGAGCTAAGCATGGTCAGCCCGCCAAAGGCACTCCGCTCGTCCTTTTTGATCTACGAGCGGACAAGCGGAGTACTATCAGCGGTAGAGTAGAGGGAATATGATGGTCGCCCGCTAAAGGCACTCCGCTCGCCCACTTTATATCTCTAGCGGGCGAGCGGCGTGCCTCTAGAGGACGAGCGGCGGGAGGCATGATAGCCCGCCCGGTAGAGGCCCGCCGCTCGTCCAAGTTATTATCTGAGAAAGGGATGTTTACAGCGAAGTGAAAATGAAATAACAGCAGAATTGGTGTCAGATGGGCAATGAGGAGTTAGGACTATGTACGACAAATTATAAGAAAGTTATGTGAATTGAAGACGTGCTCAACTTTTTTCGGAGTTAGGTGGCTTGCAAGTTACGTGAAAACCGGCCGAAGAGGCTTGGGAAATAAAAAGTTACAAATTTTCCTTCCCTTACATGATTTTTGTACTTTCTTTGCATAAATTTCATCTACATCACAAATCCTACAAATGGTTCCTAAGCCGCCTCAAATCCCTCCTCACCGCTTAGTTATAGCTCCCTGAAAATCTTGAATGGTGGCGGCAATGCTGCACCAAGCGCGTAGTGCTGCGCGCTGGATACATTATGCGCTAGTCCGGAGAATACGAATATAATCCGTTTGTTTGATGCTTCTTTGGCGTTTTTTGCTTTGTTACCTTCCTTTTCATGTGTTTTCTCTTCTTATATCTCAAGGCGGAAGTCGTACTTTCATGGTAAAGTCAAAAAGGACTTCGTTTATCGCAGTTTCGGTAAGCCACCTCGTGCCAAACCCTGGTTTACTCAATCAAGTCCATCGTAAATTTCAGTCTGTGCCGGTTATGCAATTTTACGGGCATGAATAGCAAAATAATTTGCTCTTGGATTGCGCATGATATCGCCTCATAATTTCCACTTTGGAAAGCTTGAGAGATAGACGCGTGCGAAAAGTTGACGCAGCATTTCGTTAAGTTGCGGCTCATTTAAACTGACCGTAGCTTAATTTCTCTGCGAAACTAGCCGAACTCAGCAAGGGCTTTGGCGCTGGCATGACACGCGAAAAATGGATTCAGACAGAACATTTATCCATGGGGCAAAAGACTCAAATAACTGAAACAAATCGCAATGCGTTTTGCAAGACTTTTTAAGTACGAAGTTTCAAGCAATCTGAAAAACCTTAAATGGAGGAATCAATTGAATATGCCCAAGACTATTTGATTTGACTTCAGCTATTCCACTTGTGCATCACTATGGTCGCATGGAATCTTTGTGACGCAGCGCACTACGATTGTGCACCAGCTCCATGGACCTCGCCAAGAAACATCGCTATAAGTGTCGCATTCCTTCTTTCAGTTTTCTTCACCGTAGGCACGGTGAAGATCCTATCAAAGAAAGCGCAGACACTCAAGTATGATTAGATACACGTTATAAGCGTCAACGGGTTTATTTTCATTCATTTTAGTGCAATGTGTTAGATTAGATATCAAAGTTAACTTGAGTGCAATGTGAATGTTCTTGTTTGTTGAGAAAGAATTGATATCGTTGAGATCTCATTAAGATGATGTGATACATTAGTGACCAATTCAGGAAAATCGTCGAGTTGCCAAATACTTTTTAAGTGCATATTGTTACCTAGGTAAAATTATCCAATCCAGTTAGGAATTTATCAAATGATTCTCGAGGCTTATAGCAATAAAGCTATGAACATGCTTCGAAACGAGTTTGATTGTGATTTTATACAGCAGCACTTGTGTATCGCCGTGGAAATTGTCAAGTGCAGGAGAAACAATCTCATGATGTAATCTCGAAATGTTTTCTCTGTCAGGATGAAAGGTCTGCAGGCCCTTTATCTGATGTGTAGTGGGGTTTACATTAGTCTTATTATAATCTTTATTATACAAACTATATATAAAGGAAAGGGAAACGGGGAAGAGGAAACCGCCTCCTGCCGGCGGGCGGAGGACACTGCTAGAAGTTTGCTATCTTAGGCAAACCTCCATCGCGAGCAGCTGTTGGGTAATAGCTGCGTCCCAACATCTCTCATATTTTCACAAAGTGGTGAAATAATCAGGACAGATTCTTGTCCTCGCAACAGCGCTAACACCCTCAAAAGATATAAGGCAATCAAAGACGTGGAAACATCACTTGTTTAATGGTAAAAACTACTTATAAAGCTAAATGTCCTCTTGAACAGGGTGTCAAAAGTTTTTGAAACTTGATATGTCTTCAGCTGATTTTTTACACGAGCAAAATAAACACATGACATTTAGCATGTAGTTTGTGAAAACTTTACCAAATAACAACGTACGCTCAGATTTTAACAAACCCTCTTCAGGCCTTAACAGGAGCCCTCAGTAGCTTGCAGCATGCACCATGGCATATCGGCAGTTGTCGTCGAAATTGTCTCACGCTTTTTGAGGTGTGAAACAATTTTGACGCATACGGCAGCACACCAGCGCAGACGTTCACCCAGTTTTAGTGCGGAACAAAGCAAGTCTTGCATTACACCGCCGATAAAATAGAAAGTCAGGGACTTTTGAGCAATTGAAAGCACGCATATTTGAGGAATATACCGCAAGATAAGCTGAAGTGTGAAAATGTAGCAACTAAGTTTTTGAGAAAATCAGGATACAGCAATTATAGTGTATCCGAAGTGGCTCTAAGATAATATTTCTGTAAAAATTCCAAAGCTTACAGCTAGAATTACTGACTCGGACTGAGGTGGTGGTTTTCAGCTAATTTGTGATTTTGTTCTCAAAAACCTTTTCTTCTCACAAGGGAAGTTCACTTAGTCGAAGTGGCGATTCGGAAGGAGATCTATACGTGTGGAAAGAGCTTAAAAAGCTGATCTCAGATATACCTTCTATATCTGCGATGGTTGTTCTGGAAAAAGTTATGAGCTTTTCTAAAGCCAAATTTTCGTGCATTTTGAGTCGCAAAATCATGATAATCGCTACACAAAAGTGTGCATTTTTAAGCAATTCATCTAGTAAGCATTGTAGGTCTAAATCGAGTTTATGCGAACGTTTTTGAGTGTTTTCCGACCATGTTGTTTATTCATAGGCCGTCATTTCCTTCCTATATCAACTTCCATCATAGATACAAAAAATGCCATTACCTCCATCTAGAATAACGCTTCGCAAATATTGATGATATATCTGAGAACATCGTTCGTTTTACGTTCTATCCATTGGTAGTTTCCAAGAAGTTTCCGACGCGACGCGTTTTTCTAGATGAAGGTTATGGGGCTTTTCGTATACATAATGAAAGTGTGATTTGGGAATGAAATGACGACCTATGGATGAACAACATGGTCGAAAAACACTCGAAAGCGTTCGGATGAACTCGAAATAGACCTAAGATACTTATTAGCTGGTTTGCTTAAGCTTGAAACTTTTGTGTAGCGATTATTATGATTTTGCGATTCAAAATGCACAAAAAATTGGCTTTAAAAAGCTCATAACTTTTTTTCAGAACGACACTTCGCAGATATAGAAAGTACATCTAAGATCAGCTTTTGGAGCTCTATCCGCTGGTATAGATCTCCTTCCGAATCGCCACTTCGAATAAGTCAACTTCCCTTGTCAGTGGCAGAAACTAATGAGAATTTGTATCTCAATTTTGCAATGATATGCGAAGACTGACTATTGTTTTTGCAATGTGAATGTAGGATGGAGCAAGTTCTACAATCTGCAACCGAAAGTTCCTCAAGAGCTTCAAAGGCAAAAGAGCTATACATGTTCTACAGTGGGTACATATCCACTGGCTTGACCCCAGAATCGTAGTACCATGCTTCATAAACAATCTCTTGAAAATATACAACGCAAAGTGCAATTTTGAATAATCATCGGCATGTAAACGAAGAACTCATATGTAAACTTTGAGTGAAAAACGACGAATACCAACAAAGTTACCACGTTGGAGAATTAAGCTCAAAGAATCTTTCTCTCTGTTTGCTTATATGACTGTTTGTATGTTCCGACTAGAAATTCTATATCTAAACCGATGCGGACGAAACTTTGCTAACATACACTTCGGGAGCGGCGTGTATTGTAGGCAACTTTTCATTATCGATCGACGTCGAAATCATCAACTTTTGAAACATGGAGCTACGGACTGAGAGTTGGTATAGGGAGCAGTTGTGCACTCTGATCACAAAGAAAGTAAACACCTTTTTTTGCAAAGTTTGAGCTCCGGTGTCGGCAGTTAGCACGGGTCGTATTTAAGCCTGCTGATGAAAATATAGCAGGTACAGGGAACTAGAGGCGACAGAGATTGGAAAATGTTGTACAGAACTAAGAAAGATGCCTTTACCATGGGTATTGACGGGACTGCGAGGCGGGTATGCCAGTTGGATGTAAATTTTATGGGTCTTTTCAGAAATACAGGTCTCAAGATGGTGAATTTACGTTTGATGTCTGGTATGAAAAGTTTCCCATTTTTTCAAACACGCTCTTTAGAGCTGGCTTCAACTCAGATTTGCAGTTTGAAAGAAAGACCATCAATCGCTGTTTACTGTGAAATTACGGTAGAAATTTTAAAGGGTTGAGTTAGCAGGTTATTGCGATCCCTGTTTGGCCTTAAAAACAAATCAAACAACCTGAAAACTCTTACACTAGCTTAACAGAGAGTGACTCCAAACTCAAAGTTTGCACTTCACTGTAACGCTTTTTCAGAAGTCATCCCAACCACAGCGATAGCTGACCTCAATGCTCCTCGCAGATTGAAAAAGCCTTGAGAAACATATTAAACCCGTTATAGTGAAATCATCCTCGTCACTAGTACTTCAGATTTTATGATATCTTTCGGAAAACGACCAATCTAACTGATGATACACTCCCATACGCAAATCTATGCTAAGTCAGCTTTACAACATGCATGTTGGTTGAACACCATGGTTCAAAGAAAAGTGAAGATATCAAGGGAGGAGTGCGCTTTATCAAAGCAGAGAGGTGATCACACGCAAACGTCGATAGTTGCAGGGTGTTTCACTTCATGAGCACGAATCAAGGCAGGTTTAGAGCAAACTATGACTTTGTTTACTTATGCTCGAGAGCGTCCCCTGCTAACTTATCAAAATATGTTTAATTCTATCTTAAAGGTTTGATAAGTTAGTTTAATCTCAAAGATCGCGATTTCCATCGTTTTGTGTAATTGCCCAGAGACCCTGCGAATTTTTCTAACTCTTTAAAGTCATTTATCTCACCATGATTTTGGTAAAGAAATCGCAAAACTATGTTGGTAGTTTAATCGACGCTCGAGCGTGTTTCTGATTTGAACAAATGAATATTGGAGTGATTTCATATTGAGCCCGCCGTGGTATCAAAAGTTATTAGGTTGTCCCAAAATTAAATTCATTTTTCACATAAATCAAGCTGTTCCTATTTTCAGCACACAATAGAGCAAAGCAAGCTGTATAAAATGACAACCAAAGATTCCCATTGAAGGCAGCGTCCACTAAAATCTATTCACCGATATTACTACTTTTCTTACTATGTAGCAAGCCTAAAATAGACCAACCGTGTTAGTCTGGTTTCACAATGTTGGCTACAAAAAGAGCTAGGTACCTGGGTCCTCTTTGCGCTCCGCCCTCTTTTTTGCGCTCCACTCATCCAAGGATTATCCCGTGACCTATTCTAATATGACAAGCAACGTCGACGCATACATAGTTTGTGTTATGGCACTTACGACGAGGCCTCTTGCATACGACGTGACTAGCGCCGGGGCATTCGTCCACTTCTACAAAATAGGGTTTTGGGAAGGTCATTTTGGAACTTTCTGGGAACCTTATATCCGAAAACAGCGCCATGAAAAGGCCCGATAACAATAGAGATGTAAGACGAAAGTTCTGTTGGACGTGCCTTTGAGTCGTTATTTAGGTGAAATTTCGAGTAAAATCAAAATCTTTCAACTACTCAAGAAATCGGATCTTCTTCGACACGTAGGGTTCGTTCCGAGAGTAACACTGAGAAATCTAAATAGTCTGAGAATGCGAAAATTTCAGTTTTTTCGGTTTTTTTAAAATCTGATATCTCCGATTAACAGTGCGCATATAGAATTTTCAATTGAATCTTCAAGTACTTTTTAAGGCTTCTAGTTACTCAATGACATATGTGGAAGGCGCTGGGCCAAAGTTTGCCATTTTTGAACTATCTTTTTTTCTCGTTTTCTATGTGTGGAAGTTCGGTAAAGGCATATTTGTGTGCTGCTCAGTGTCTACTGTATAATGACCAAGTTGGAGGTCCGTTTGATGTTTTTCACAAAAATCCAATTTTTTGGTGCTAAAATTCTTTTCGATTTTGGCTCCAAACTTTACGTGGATCACGAGTTGGGTGAATCCAGGGCCCGCCAAGAGGTGGGCAAATGACAAGCTGGCAATGGCTTTGAACAAATTGGGGTAAGCCCCGAAGAAGATTCTAAGTGCAAGCAAAGTGTGGTCGAGTCATGCTTGTCACCTTATACATACAGTCTGCCCTAACAGGGATCAGGCCGAAGATTGGGCGGAAATTGCGCGCCTGCAGCGCCGGGATTTGCGCTTCATACGCGCGCTCTCGGGGAGAGCGAGGAAATTGAGGAGGGAGCAGACAAGCAAGGTGGTGGGCGTCAGTGCGAAACCCTAGCGACGCGGACTCCCGTCATGCCAATTTTGGCCTGGTTGGGATTGGGCAGACTGTATAAATCTTTGGATGATAAATTCGGAAGCCTCGAAGCACAGAATTCGCGGATCACGCCGCGCCCAGGCTAGTTACCGCACGTGCGACCTCTTGACCGATGGCGATGCCGTTTGGAACAGCACATAGGCCACATCACCCAGCATCGGTCTCAGGAACCCACGAGTTGAAGCAGCGCGCATGCGCAGCATGATGGTTTTATGATGGTTTTTGCTTTTCAATTATGGCTATAAATTATGGCTTTGACGTCTTTCGTGCGTCTCCTCACGTTACGTCATACTTGTAATTTCGATCTACTCGTTTTCTTCTAGTTAACTAACCAGTCTCTCATCATCATCTTAGTCCGAGTCTTTTTCGCTCAGCTATCCAGTATTCAATCGTACAGCTTGCTGGTTCAACCTCAACCGAGTGATCTGAATGTGAATCTTTTCACCTTTGGGGTCATTGGGCCTCCCCAGCATTCCGGCTAGGCGGGGTTATGGTTATTATACTGTGCCAGTAGACCCGCCTGATAAGCTGTCGGTTTGCTTTTAAGATTCAATACAAAGATCGTTCCGCTGGCAACGAGGGGGCATCGGTCCCATCCTTGGAGTTATAACTTTTGGAGTTATGAGTATCAATGCCTATACATAGCCAGTGCCTATACATAACCAGTGCCTATATGCCTACATCTTTATACATATCTAGCTACTAGCCTATCAACATATTCAATGCAAGCCGTTTCATCTTTCTTATATTAGTCTGACTAGGATTAGACTCGGATTGATATGATGATGTCTGCATTCGTTTATTGCTTATTCCGCTTATTACTAACTTCTCGATGTGTTTTGTGTTTTTTCTTTTGTATTGGCGCCTTGAGCGTACAAATGAAAATGAAAATGAAAATGAAAATGCGCCGAAAATAACAGTCAAGCGCGGAAGCTAGCCTTCTACTCAAGCATTTGAACGCTTCCTTTCTGTATATAGTTCTTTCCTCTCCCTAAACATTCGCTTACGTTTGGCTTATCTTGACTACATAAGGGAACGACCATAAGTTCGCAGTGCTCGCAGTGTTCGCGATGTTCGTGGTATTCGCGGTTTCGTGGTGTTCGCGGTGTGTTCGCAGTGTTCGCAGTGTTCGCGGTATTCGCGGTTGTCGGTGTTGTCGGTATTGCGTAATGCACGTTTTGCAGTGAACTTCCACTGTTATGAATTAATTTTGCATTGATTGTAAACACATTATCACCTTCGAGCAGCTTACAACACCAAGCAGCAACATCGCGAGCACCACGAACACCGCGAACACCATGAACACCGCGAACACAACGAACACACGAATACCACGAACACCATGAACACTGCGAACACCGCGAACACTGCGAACATGGCCGTTCCCTAAGATAATCAGATGATGGCACGCCCACTGCATGATGAGCATCGAGTGAAAGCGTTTGGCTTTTTTGTATAAGCTCAAAAAGGGTCGTCCACTTTGAAAATAAGAACCGCAAACATAAGTTTCCATAAATTTTTGGACCATAGTGGACTCACTCCAAGCGCATGTGCACACCAAATTTGACCTCATGTCATTGCGATTTGATTATAAACGACCTTTGTTTATGTCACGATTTCAAATTCCTGCGCTTTAGCTGTTAGCATGTCGCCGGTATTCCATTGGCATGCCACCAATGTGCCGCCGGCATACTAACAAACAGCGGCATGCTAATCCGCAAAAACGACATCCCCTCTATTTTCCACTCAAGAACGATATGGAGTTTGACCTGGTTCACGCTCCGCCAAACCCTGCCTTGGTGAATTTGTTCATTTCCCATGAGCTCTGGACCGTGTTACTGTGCGAAAAATGCAGAGGATGCACATCCTTACATTTGATCAATAGATACAGGAGGTGCTGGAAGTTGATAGTGAGGCTTGTTAAGTAAATTTCCATGGATCCATACCATGCGTATTTAGCATTTTTGGAAAGCTTACTTAGTGGATCTCGTACATAAAAACCATTAGAGCCAATCATTAGCACAAGGAACGGATGTTAGGACCAAGTAGCCAACACAGATATATGGTCTCCTAAAATTACGATTAAATGTTTGGTGACGAGTAAAAAGAAGAAAGAACTCCAAGATAATAGATCTTGCAGCTGTCTCGTTACTGATCATAAACCTTCGGAAGTCTTGGAACGCCTATTGACAGCTACTGATCATGCTTAGTTTAGGTGCCATCTATATCTGGTACTGTTTTGGATCAACATTTCTTCACAGCATCCTTTCTGCAAACATACTGCATTTTTCGCAAATGAGAAAGCTTTAGCAGAAGTCTAAACCATTTTTTACTGAAGTGAGTGAATAAAAAAATTCTTTCAAAGGCCTGCAATTTGCTTGCTGAAAAATTAGAAGTCTTATCACATGTGATGCGAAAAGTTGATTTTTTAGAAGGAAGAAACTTTATTTTGAAGTTACCCAAAGCAGTACACTGTTCACTACTGCACAATTAGTTTGATCCATGGAGGAGCCAGTCCCTTCTGTAAAATAGATTGTTTTAGCAATAAGAATATGAAAAGTTATTTCAAGCAGTACCACAGGTTTTTGATCAGGTGAGTGGTATATAGCCTCATCGCTCTTCTGCACCGATTCGATAACAAGTTTACCGTCTTTTGTCACGTGGGCTCTTGTGATAGGTTTGCTTGGCTTATTGTCCTAGATAAGAACATAATTTTTTTCTTCTGCTCATTTTTGTATGAGTGTGTGTTGGAAATTTCGGAGAAAAAAGACCTCAGCAAATGAAGGTACAACTTTACCTTGGTAACAAATTGAGTGCAAATTGGCTCCTTCTTGTTTGAGCCACAATATTTGATTTTTTCTATATTGTCATCGTCTTTTGTACGTTCCCAGTTGACGATTTTGCGCCCATATATATCATCTGCCACATCGAGCTCTACCCGACTGCCAACCTGAGATGTACGATAAAACAAGCAATGTGGCCAATTTCTTATGGTCAACCTTTGCAGGCCAATTCAGTACGCTGGCATGTCCAAAAGACACGACAAGCAGAAGTGCAATGGTTTTTGCCCACATATCTGAATTAAAGGTACAAATGTCAAGATCATAGCACTTCCAAAAAATTCTAGAGTGTAAGTCATGTCGACGGGGGCGAAGGTCTACCCTGCGCGATTATCCGCTCCAGGACACCCACTTTATTGTTCGTGTCTGTTTTGTGGCATATTTGCTGATAAAGATGCAACTTTTCATGCGGATGAGAGACCTGCGAAGTGGTAGACAGACAGTACGTAATTCATAGTTCCTGAACAATATATGAAGAGAGGGTGCAGTCATTTTTGTCCACCTTCGCCTGAGTTGGCGATGACCTCAATTAGCATTGTAGTCAGAAAAATTGGCATTCTAGTCAGAAAAACATTTTTGAAAAAATTTTACACCATTTTCAAGCTTTTTGTATTGAAGAATTCTATACAGTGCACATGAGACGAAGAGTTCTGAAAATATTTTGGGTTGTTTTTGTTATTTTTTTCACTCCCCGTTTTGGACATCTAGAGACTTCAGATTGCCGTCATAGAAGAGGCAGTACCAAAATATGCTGTACAACAGTTATAGAAAAAGCACAGAGGTCATGGAAAAGTACAGGATGAAGGAAAATCGAAATAAGAGACTGTTGTCTTGCAGTGTTGCTGTGGGCATTTGCGGCATTTAGCACGTCGGTGGGTAGACTTAATGACTTGTTACAACGAAGCATCGAGATTCTCAGAAAGCTTGTGGATTTTATTTTGGAGTCAACTACGGAATGAGAAAGACGGAATAGGCCACCGCAGTACGAACTTTTAAGTAATCGTTGCGGATTTTTCTTGAAAACTGTTTTTGGTCAATCAGTCTTACTTTTTGAAGCATGTGATTTGGAGTCAAAACAGAAGCACTGCCGAAAGGTCTTAATATCAAGCACCATGCCCAGTGATTGAGTAACAACTATACAAACTTGGATTTCAAAGTTTTCGAAAACGAGGCTTGATGAATTGATTCAGCTATTAGTGATAGAGATCCGACTAGAAACTGCCTTTCTAACGACGAAACAATAACAGAGGGTCTTTTATGCATGTAGGCACATTAGAATGATTACAGAAGATTTTACATAGATGACAGAGCAGAAGCTGAGCATTTACATATCAATTTGCGTCAATTCATGTTGTAATTATCAGCAATTTGCTTTTGTATCTTGATATAGAATATGAAAAATTGCTTATTGTAGAACAGTGTCAATACAGATATGGGCAGATGTTATGCTGGTGAAACATCATGCACATCATTAGCTAAGCATCGAAGAGCATTAGCAATTCCGTAAAATTATTTGAGATGTTAGCGTGAACGTCACTCAAACTTTGTTCACATGCTGATTGTAAGTATGTAATGCTTGTTGAAAGAGGAAATGGAAGAAATTTTTTCAAGACCAGAAGCGTTTTCAAAATAAGGTAAATGCCCAACTTTTTTTCTTATGATAGTGTCAATTTCCAGAAATTACCAGAGTGTACCAAAATTTTTCCCATTTATGTGAGCCGTCATCTTTTTATATCTTTCTTTTGATTGATGTGCCTTGTGTCATTATTCGACAGGGCAAAGCAAGCTCTACTAGGTGGTATCAAGAGTCTGCGCAAATCCTATGCTTAGTGAATGCTTAGTGAAGTTTTGTGCCGAAGTGTGATAGTGATCAGAAACGGACTTCTCCGTCAAAAATCGTATCACCGCTTCAAAAAATTTCAAGAACTCCCCATCTATCCTAGCATATGCCTGATCCAGCGAACCTTCATTTGTACATTTTCCGTACTTTTTCACGGCTAACAATGTAGAAAAAATGAACGGAGTAAAATGTCAAACTCTGCCCCTAGAAGTCCTGAGCTTCTCCCACGCACGCGATCATATAGTTCTTACATACAGAAGTATCATGTATTTGTACCCTTGATAGGTGCTCCAGTTCTCGACTAGCTGATGCTTGGGGTAAAAGCGGTAAAAAAATCATAAGGCGCCCTAATATACATAGTGTTCAAGAAATGTATAGTACTCTCGACATTTAATTACCTTTCATGAAGAGGTTTTTCGGTTATTTAAGCATCATGTTGTAGTGCTGGCTTCAATTTAGAATTGCGTCATGGAGCAAATCACAAACTGCTCTCTATTACTGTTGGATTACGACAGAAACTTTGGAGAGGATCTTGAGCTATTCAGGGCTGTTTTGCCATATGAAGCAAACAAACCATTCTGGAAATTACATCAAGCTAATCGGAGTTGCCGACTTTAAGTATAAAATATGCACGATACCGCGACGCTTCTTGTTTAAGTTACGTCAAGTATATTGTAATAACCGTCATCTCTATGTTCCTCACAAGGGAGTCCGTTTGATCGAAGTGGCCTTTCCAAACTGATACTAGTTTAAACAGCATCGAACGCTGATTCCAAACCTGTCTTCTTTACCTGCCACGCGGCTCTCGATGCTGGGTCATGAACGTTACTTTTATTTGAATCGAATGGGTAATTAGAATAAAATTTGTCAGAATTTCTGAAATGGTCCAATATTGATTGCCAGAAAACTCCACTTAAGGGAGAACTTCTTTCGAAAACAATCATACTCAACACTTTTCCTTTGAGCATTGAAAAGACCGTAACATGTGATTTCACCTACATTATGCATTTGCGTTCGATTTTTGCACCAAAAACATTCATACGTCGGCATGCAGAGGAGCTTGGCAGATTATGAAATCATATTCGGAATTAGCGTTCAATGCTCTTCAAAGTGGTATATGTCTCAAAAAGGCCAATTCAACTAGTCCACTTGCCTTGTCAGAAATGCGATTACGAAAACAAAGGATTGAAAACGTGTAAAAAAGCAGTATCATCATGCGGAGAACCCTGGTGCACTTCGTTCTAGTTATTTTCAAAAACTTTGAAACGGATGCTTGTTCATATGGCAATGCCAGAAGTTTCTACCGTAATCTCACAGTATTGATAAATTGTATACAAGTTGAAACCAGCACTGCAATAATGTGTTTGGAAGAAAAGTTTTTATACAGGGAGGAAGTTACAGGAGAACAAACGTTTGACGCTATTTCTTAGGACAACCTGACTTGCTCGCCTTCCTACTTGGGAATCATATAAAGCATGTTAGAAATGTAATTGAAAAGAAATAGAAATTCCGAAATCTAGGCATTGGTAGATAAAGGGACATTGTTGTAAGAAGATTTTCATTCGCATCATTTGTAGCAATCAAAAAGTTATGCGTCCTATTGTAGATCATCAAATGTCTGCTGCGCACAAACCATTCCGATCATAGGTGCGATAGGGGGAGCAGGGTCCCCTCCAAGTGAGGGGGGTCTTGGCTATTTCTAACCCAGAAAAGTGAAGGGATAGCTGGGCCTGAGATGAATGCTGACGAAAGCTTACATGTCTAATGGGAGCGGGAGTGAAAAGAAGGAAAATAAGTGTTACAGAGGTGTGATATAAAAATTTCCTCAATGCTTAGGCTTCGGAAGATCATCCAATAGAGATTTTTCTGACTCAGGAAAGCTTTATGTTTCATCAGCCGGCATATCATTTGAAAGCTTGGAACATACAGAATCGATGTAGACCTTCTCTTTTTTCCAGCTCTCCTGTGAATTCAGATATAAAAAATCATATCCAGCTCCAGCATCAGGTAATTTTATGCAATCATCTTGAGCTCCATTTTTGAAAGAATGAGGAAAGCTAGAAAAAAGAGACGATCTACGTTTATTGGCAAAGTCTTGCTCTGTAATACGGTTAGACAACTGGGCATTTTAAACCACTCTTTGCATAAAAATTTCTTTACAAAAACACAAATGTTTTTAGCTAAAATGCCTGTATCTCTGAGTAGAGGGAAGCCAGTGAAAAAGCGACGGTCTACGTCGAATTCCTGTTTCGTGAGCTTTCCAAAGTATAGAGGTTGTTGGTGAAAAAACTCGTGGCTTTTCAAGAATGAGGTGGAGATATTTAGTACTAACTTGCTCTTTTCTATTTCTCGCCGCAGCAAGACTTTTTTGGATTGGGAAAGCTTTGTGCACCAACACTTTGTATCATTCAGTAGCTTAGGATACGAGGAATCGACATAAACCTTCTTTTTCTTCCTAGCTTTTCCGTGAAGCGAGATACGAGCAGTTTTATCTATCTACAATATCACCCAATTCTGGGTAATTATCTTTTCAAATCAAGAAGGTTTTCGAGCGTTTCATATATGATTCGAAAGCTTGAGAATCGAGTAATATAACTGCTCCTTTGTTTATTATTATACTCTTTAGTGAAAGGAGGTATGGTCTATCTGTCTTTTTTACCAGTAAACATGAGTCCATCATTAGCTAGTCCATATTTTCGACTCCTTTAAACTCTTTCTTGCAACAGTGTGTATTCATTGATTATCCTTTTGATTTTTGATTATGCTTCGTTATCAACACCACTTTGAGTGCGCAGGAGGTCTTGAGCATACGTTTTTCTAACAAAACGCTGTTGTTTCGATGCTCGCTTGCAAACTTGATGTCTAAGGAGAAGAAGCTGAGGTTTCCTTCCAAACAAAAAGTGCCGTTGCAACAGCTGTTTGATCCTGCTGTTATGACTTGATTCTAATCTCAACCTCAAGTGAAAGGGTTAGCAAGATGCCGACCCTAAAGTGGAAGGGGTCAGAGAAATTTTTCCACCTATCACATCTATGATCCCGATTGATGCACAGCAATTTCAGCGCTTGTATACCGACGAGTTAAAAGCAAGTAAACTCCAAAATTTTTCGATATCTGCTTATGTGTACCATTTTCAAACACTTTTCCCGTTCTCGAGAAGTGATAACACACCTCGAAAATTCAAAATATATGCGCTTAAAAGTTGTTCCGCAAGTACGTGAATGACTTGTAGACAGCAGACATGTAGAGGGATCTACAGGAGGGCGCACAACTTTTTTCGACTGCTACAAGTGAAGCAACGAAAAACTTTCTGAACTTTTTATAAAATCTCGACTATGAATGTCATCACTTCGCAACATATATTTTTTCATTCATATAAGGGAGCGGGCGCGTTATTTTTAATATGTGCAAAAAGTTGATGAATGTCATTGCGTACGACTCGTGGCAATTTATTGACCTGCATCATAATCTTACATCGGCATCACAAGTCACTTCCAGATTTAATTTTTTTTTCTTTTCAAAGGTGTTTGTGCTGGTCGTGGAGACGTTAGTGGCAGCGTCCAAGCAGAATCTCGACTTCAACTTTTTGTCTTATCTAGGCCTTTACATGGCGCGGATTCCAAAAGTAGTACTCAAAATGGGCGAATTCCTCAAAAACCCCATTTTTGAGACAATTTTGTAAGAACCGTGGACGAGTGCTTCTGATGCAAATCTTTCTATTGACAGGTAGACACTATCTCTTCGATTGTGTCTGCCACGTGAAAACACGTCAAGGGTGAGGAGAGTTCGTACAAGGGGATGGGCCGTACGAGGGAGTGGGCGGGTCCTCGAGGCTCGGCCTCTTCTGCTCCGATTTTCTCCCTTTGCAGGGGGTGTTCGCAGAGCCCAGCACGTGGTTGCATTTTTAAAAACAAAGACTTCATAACTTCACAAAGTTTTACTCAGCTTTGAAATCAAAATCAGTAGGAAAACCTATGTTAAACCTACATATAGTAAGTTTCAACTCAATTTAGGCGGAAATTGGATTGGCGGGAGTCCTCTTCACAGCGATTTGCGCCGCTTTGCAGTCTGCGTCTCTTCATTTGAATCTATCTCTCTGAGCCAGTAGCGGCGCGGGCGCGCTGCACCATTTGGAATGTTTCGCCTACTCCGGGCTGAAAAAGACTGTAATAATATCAAAGCAAATTAGAAAAGCAATAATCACATTTTTAGTTGACAAAGAGCTCTGTTACTGGGAAAGATTTCATTTTGGCGTTCAATACGGCGAAAACCCCTA